AAATGTGTGAAGTGGAAGAAGGATTTGCAATCTTTTCCAAAATCGGCCATGCTATTTGTAGTATGAGTACATTTCAACTTGATAGAGACACAATGATGAAGGCTCACTTGTATGTCTTAACCAACTGTGATGCAGTTGCTCCTTATATCCAGTAAGTTATTTATATAGAAGTATTTGATAAATAAAATTTATTTGTATAGAACAATAAAGATAAAGTTTGAGATTTGTTGCTCAAACTGTATTTTTTATCCTAGACTCCTTGGCTTATAATTTCCACCATATGCAGAAAACATATGGAAATGATTCGGCAACAACACCTTAGGGCGAGACCACATAATCTATAAATGATTCATAATAGGGAGTTTCCTTCATGGTTTAAGGAACATGCAAAGAAGGTTGAGATGGAAGTGCCTACTTTGAGGGCGGACTGGTTATCCATGCAAAATCAAATGAATGATTTCATGTCTATGATGCAGAATACATAGGTTTTATCTTTCAGTATCTTACTTTATTGATGTTTCTTTATTATATATATTTATATTTATATATAATGTTGTTAATTGTCTTCTTAATGTCTGAATTAGGACCCCATGGATTCATTTCAAATACGAAGACATTATTCATCTGCTCCCTTCTCTCAGTTTAGTGGCCATTTTTCAACTCTGAAACATAAAATATTCCAGTATATGTTATTTTATATATAATTTTAATAAATAATAAGATTCTAGTTTTCCATTATATTGATATATAAATGCCTCATCTACAGGATGGTTCTAAAGTTGATTTTGTTATGGGCCCGGGCGTAGGATCTCGTCACGGGTCGGTCCACGGGAAGAACCTCTTGCTTCCCCTTGCGCCTTCCCTTGCGTGCAGAACCTATTGTGGAAAACCGAATGGGTGATTTGTCCAAGAGACCACCCGAACTCTCCTTACTCTTCTCTTGACTGGAAACTGAATACTTATATTCCCCAAATCACAGCTCCTTAAATAGGAGATTACAAGAGGAGACTCCTTACTTCATTCGACTAAGCTAGGACAA